TTTGCAAGCAATATGTGGGTGGGTGGGTGGGTGGTGTGTGTGCATGACTATATTTTCTCCGAGTTACATGACCTTTTCATACAATATATCCTTTTATTGGTTTATTTGTCAAATATATTTATGTTTATTTGTATATATGTTTATTTTATTTTCCACATGTTGTTTCTCACAATATTTCCTTTGCCCAGCGTGCATATAGTGTCATTTGTATCATTTGTTGCAGATATGGCACAAATATATATATTTGCATAGGCATTGTTAGTGTATGCATGTTGACCATGACTTTGATTGTGTTTTTGCATTTATTCCAATCAGTATATATTTGCTCATTTTAACTGATTTTCATGTTATATTTCTATTCTTCCAGATCATTATCATGAAGCTTGGCCTATGAGGTATGTTTATTTTCTATTTTATTTTCTATTTATCTTCATTAGAACTTTGATTGTATGATTTTCAATATTCTAATTTGTATGTATCTTTTGTTCAGATTTGTTCCATGTAATCATAATATATGTCATGTCATCAATACATTTTACACAGAACACAAGTTATAGGCTATGCCATCAATTTTTTTTTTTTTTTTTTTTTTTTTTTTTTATTATTAACATACATTACCTCATTGTCTCTTCTTCTCTCATTCAAACATTTTTTTTCTTTTCTTTTCTTTTTCATTTTATTATATCCATAAAATAAATATATCATATATATTTATCTATATTTATATTATATTAATATAAAAATATATATATATACATACATTATATTATTATGTATATTATTATTTTATTATTTATACATATTTTATATGTATGTTGACATATATATATGTATTTTTATATTATATAAATATATACATACATATTTATATACATATCATATATATATAAAATATATGTATGCATATGAATATATATTATTATTTTTTTTATTTCTATATACATACATACATACATACATACACATCACACACACCACACACACACACACACACACACACACACACACACACACACACACACACACACACACACACACACACACACACACACACACACAGTGTGAGTGTGAGTGAGTGAGAGTGAGTGAGTGAGTGAGTGAGTGAGTGAGTGAGTGAGTGAGTGTAAGTAGTAAGTAAGTAGTAAGTAGTAAGTAAGTAAGTAAGTAAGTAAGTGTGACTGTGACTGTGACTGTGTGCGTCTGTGTCTGCGTGCACCAACACGCATAGATAATCATACAGAGTGATATATTTGTTTTGGTGCACAAATACATATGTAAATCTATTTAAGTTATAAAGGTTTTGTGATCATTATGATTCTTCATTTTAAGTAAGTGTGGTAAGAGAAGCTGTTACTTCGCTGTATGAATGCACACGACACGTGTGAGGTCATGTTATGTTGACATAGCAAACATTGTCGCTTCTCCTCCCCACCCGTTATCTCTCGCTGCTCATGCCTATTCACTTTTCTCTCCTTTTTATCCATTTGGTTCTCTCCCATTTATCTCATCATGCACGTTGCCTTCCATTTCCTTGTTATTCAAAGTAGTAAGGAGGATATGTTGGGTTAGCTTGAGGTACAGAAAATATGAAAAGTGGATGTCGTGCCAAAACAACACACCACTCAACCCTCACTCAACACCACACCACCACCACCACCACCACCACCACCTTACCACACCATAAATCCTTTCCAGTGCTTGCGTTATTCATTTACATTCTCGATGTCGCCGCGGAAATTTTTCGTGTGTAGTGTCTCTGCGATGATTTAAAACCTTTGTAACGGTCATTTTCACTGGACGGACGAGTATCAAAAATTTCGAACGAGGCATTGGACGGACATCTTTGTGAAGGTTAGTACATGTATTTTATGTTATCAATAATATTTGCTCTCCTCTCCTCTCCTCTCCTCTCCTCTCCTCTCCTCCTCTCCTCTCCTCTCCTCTCCTCTATGTATGTTCAGCTATATTTTTATGGTTTTGCTTGTTTATAGACATATACTATGGTATATTTTATACACGGTGTGTGATGATTACGATTGTTTACGTATAGTAGGTGCATTTATTACTCTAAATAGGATTAGGTTAGGTTAGCAGCACACCGAAAGTGTGAGGTCTTGTTATGTTGACATAACAAAATCGGACCCCCCCCCCCCTTCCCCTCCCCATCATCTCTCGCTGCTCTTGCTACCCGGCCTATTCCCCCTTCTCTCTTTTTTATCCTTTTTTCATCCCTCTATTTTATCTCGACATGCTCCTCTTCTTCCTTTGCCTCACATTTCATCTTTCAATTACTCCCAAAATAACTAAAAACTTGCGCCAATTATAAAATCTTATATATTTCTTCAGCAAAATCAATGACGATAAAACAGTCTGTTAATCACCACCACCCTAAATCCTTCTCACTGTTTGTGTTACCTCTCGCGGAAGCTCTAGTCCTCCATTTGCATTCCAACTGTCGTCGCGTCAACATATCCTGCTGTACAGTGCTTCTGATACAGACTGTTTGCATTATTTTTGTGTGTGTATTGTGAATAACTTGAATTAGGCTCTTTTGTGTGTTTGTTATGACACAGTGACGGCAAAATGAAAATACATCAAGGACTTATATAACAACGCATTTCACGGACGATTTTTTTGAATTTCGAAGGAAGCACTGGAAGGACTTAATTTTTAAGGTTAGTACATGTTATAAATTACTGTATTATTGTATCATAGTTAATAATATTATTATTATTATTTATTGTTATATTTTATATATGTTTTTTTTTCATATTATATAGATATATATTTGTATAATTTTTAATCGTTATATCTCTTTGTTATTTATCGATTATTACACATAGCTTATTACGTACAAGTGTTGTTTTTTTTTTTTTTCATACTGGGTGATTGATTGTCATGTTATGCCGCAAAGACGAACGCAATATATTTGTTTCGATACAAAATATACTTGCTATTGTCTTGTGATTAATAAATGATAATAAAAATACATATATTACTCTTTGACAATTTTGCTGTGACGATTAATTTTATATATATGAAAGGAAATATATATATTATATATATATACACTTGTACATAGGCCTACGCAGTACGATTCAAAGTAACAACATTAATGATATTTATATTTGGTGTTCATGATAAATGTTTACAAATGTTCATCGCATCTTTGAATGAGACAAATCGTTTTTATTTCGTAGTATGTTATTATAATACGGCTTACAAACAACTGTTTTTAATATGCGCATAGGGGTGAGTAAAGGATATTTTTATTGAGATTTTAATATATAGTTATTTATCAATCTATACCTAATATTTGTTATTATATAAAGGTCATACCCATTGTATACTTAGTCAGTCATTGTATAAACGCTTTTATGGGTTTTTGTAATTCACTTTATCCCCCCACTCTCCCCCTCCAATACCATCGGTCGCGTGCCCTCATCCTATCCCGGAAGGTCAGACTTGTCATTTATTGTTCATCTTTTTTCACGTGAACACGTGGGCAGTGCGGTGGGACACTTGCAAAGCGCTTTCAGTATATAATAACATGTGTTTTGTTTTCATAGTGGTGCACGTTTTGTATACATTTGTTAACAATCTTACCTAGTCAGTTGAACGGACATGTTTGTTTGCACGGAACTGCCGCCATATTAATGGATAGAACGACACAAATCTTGTTTTTGTATTGTGATTTTATTTTTCATTCCAAACAATATTTCAGGGGTGGGTGACTTTGCTACTGCTGCGCATACATAAGAACAAATGAAATAACAAAACATAACCAAGTTTGATTATTCGTTACAATTTGTTTATTATTTTCATTCTATCTTCTGTCTTTGTTAATGATCAATCATGTTGCAGTTTTTGGATGGATGCTCGTCACTTTTGCTTGTTTTTACAGAGTAAGACGTCGAGTCAGTGTTATTTATTTACAATATAGTCATAATTGCGTGTCTATATAATATTGTATTTCATATATGTCATATTTCTGGTATGCATTTCTAGGATATTGTCATATTTAGATTATGCATAACGCTCATGTCTTTTCTTCATATATATATTTATGTACACAAGATACACGTACATGCTTTATACATGCACATGCATATGCATATGCACCTGCACACATACATACCTAGGTACATACACATACATATATAACATAAGTAAATAATTTTTTTTTTAGTAACATATATGTGTATATATAGCTGCATGCATACATCATGATATATAGAGATTCGAAAGTGATGTAATATAAATATATACAGTCTCCTATTTTTATTCTACATTTTGATTTGAATGATGAACGCATTTTCATTACCGTTTTGATTCATTATATTAATTGGGGAAAACAAATCATACGCAACATTCAATCTAACATTATTCCTACACTTCAGGTCACACCCGGTCACGTCGAACGAACTCGTACGCCCTAGCCTAGCCACCGTTCGCTTTACCGGACATTCCTAAACACGAGGTCAGCCATGGTCAAGACAAACGAACGCGTACATATTTCCCATGATGATCAAGGTTAGTGATAAAAATAAATATTTATATTAATTAGGAATTAATTTCTGACGCAAACATTTATATTGATTTATTTATTTTATATGTACACGTACATGTACAATATATATTTATATACATACATACATACTATATATATATATGTATATATATATACTATATATATATATATAGGTATATAGTATATATATATATCATATATACATATATATATATATATATATATATATATATATATATATATATATATATATATATATATATATATATATATATATATATATATATATATATATAATATATATATATATATATATATATATATATATATATATATATATATATATATATATATATATATATATATATATATATATATATATATATATATATATATATATATATATATATATATATATATAGATATATATCGTACATACATATTACACGAGATTTTTTTTATATATAGTCATTATTATTTAGTAGTATTTCTATACTAACGCAAACGCACGCGCACTCACACACATATTGCATATGTTTGTTTATACATACATACATACATATATATAAAGTTTCGAAGTGCAAGGGAGTTGTATATGAAATGGGTTTCCTGTATTGTATTGTTTGGTTGCAATTTTGCTCAGTTTCAATGTATGAGTGATAGCGTTCACTACATTATTGTATCGACAGTGGGTATTTTATTGTGAGTTCCATTATTGCTAGTCTAGATAACATAACAGGAATATTTATTGGTTTGGTTTGCTTGGTTGCTGGTTGGTTTGGTCAGATATTTCTCTTATTTAGTCTTTGTGGCTCCAAAAGGAGCCGATGTAGTTGAAAAGAGGTAATACGGAAAGTATTTACTTCTTCTCGGTCTTCTTGGGGAGGAGCACAGCCTGGATGTTGGGCAGGACACCACCCTGGGCGATGGTAACGCCAGAGAGGAGCTTGTTGAGCTCTTCGTCGTTACGGATGGCCAGCTGCAAGTGACGGGGGATGATACGGGTCTTCTTGTTGTCACGGGCGGCATTACCTGCCAACTCGAGGACTTCAGCAGCCAAGTACTCCATAACGGCAGCGAGGTACACAGGGGCACCAGCACCTACACGTTCAGCATAGTTGCCCTTACGCAGAAGGGCGGTGAATCCTACCGACGGGGAACTGAAGGCCGGCCCTGCTTGAGCGGGACTTTGACTTGCCCTTTACCTTACCGCCCTTACCACGACCAGACATGTTGATAGTTTGCTATGACTTTGCTCAAAAGAATCAAAAATCATAGTTGCGACGGGCAAAGCTTGGTATTTATAGGTGGCTCCAGGTGAAACGGTCTCATTGGGACATGTGGCAATGCGGGATGGCCGGGGATTGAGCCAATAGCGTGGCCCACGCTTTCCTTGGCCAGCCGAGGCTGGCGCTGGTGGTGCACTATAAAAGGAAAAATCATAGTTTGGAGTTCACGGTCAAAGCAAGTCAGCAGCCACAAACTTCGAAGTCAGATCCAGTGCAGTTCTACCTCGTTAAAACAGAGATTTTACTCCCTGTCTTTAACAGTTATTACTGCTCCGATCTCGCTCCCTAATTTGTGCCTTCGCTCACGCGTTTTTAGCCAGCTCTTTGCTCCCTAAAAGCACACTTTGACCTGATAGTAGCCTTGCGCTACCGAGAGACGAAATATTGATAAAGAGGTACACAGACAGTTCGTCAAGTCACCGTGGTCTGCCGCGACCTTGACCAGGCTAATCTGTGTATCTCTGACCTGAGCCACCGGTCGTTGCCTGAACAACAAGTTGTGAATGTTTGTGTAGCCACGGCTACGATCACACTCATTCACAGCCCTGTATTCAGGCACTCTCTGACCCCTTTTTCTCCAACCAATTTTCTGCCTCTTTTCCTGTACTCCTCCTGGGCCTACGAGAGTCTCCACGACTCTGGTATTCGCCTGGGGGAGGACTGCAGCCCCAGTCCCCTTGTAGCAGTTCGGGACCAGGGAGCAGATCCAAGTACAGAGCCTCAATTCTTGGAGGGAGCCGGAGAACTCCGCCGGTTCTTCCCTCTAAGAGGGTCAGGCAGCAGGGTTAGGGACATAGCAGGTCTCCATAAACCTGCAAGCTCAGTGTGTAGGGTTAGGGTTAGGTCCCTGCAAAGGGTCCCCACTGACCAGGCAAGGAACATCCATTCGACCTCTACAGCCCCATCAAGAGGGGACGGGGGTGGATTTGTAATTCCTTGCCTTCCCTAGGGTCAGTGGCGTAGCTAACGTCACCCCCACCCCATCCTCATGCTCTGATGAGGATTAAGGTCCTGACGACCAACGGGCGACCCTCCTCCTCGAGGAGGGAAGCCCTACTACAAGCTCTCTTTGATGCCGAGATCCGAACCCTGCGAGTAATCACCACCAACGACCAATTCGTCATCATCTGCCAAGATGAATCCAACGCTGAGGCCGTATTCGCCCCCGAAACTACGACCAAGCTAAAAAGCAAAGGATTCGAACCTCAGATGCCTCCGGAACTAAAAGCAAAACTGACATTGGTCCTAAAACAACTAGACAGAGAGCTTGTAAAAGAAAACCCAGAGGAGATAAAAGAAGAAATAGAGAGAAATCTTCCTGAAGCAAAGATAGGGGACATCTTCATCATGAAGAACCGCTATCTCATGAAGATTCAATTTTCGGACCACAAAACAGCGGCTAAAGTTCAAGAGGAAGGCCTATTCCTCTTCAACATTTTCATTAGTCCTAAACAAATCGAACCTGAAAGATTTACAAACATTGTGCAATGCATGCACTGCTACAGATACGGCCACTATAAGACCAACTGCCCCGACAAAGAAAAAAGACTAAAACTATGCTCAGAATGCGGTTCCAACACCACAACTATAGAGACTGCAAGTCTGATGTCAAGAGATGCCTCAATTGTGGGGAAGGCCATCGCACCCTAGCGAACTCCTGCCCTCTCAGAAAGGAAGCCATAAAAAAAACCAGAGAAGAAAAAACTAAGAAAGAAGAAGAAAAGAAAGAAATCCCCATTAAAAGGGTAGCAGAACAAACAGCTAAACAAACTATTGAAGCTACACAGAACGCCTGGTTTAAACCCCTTATGAAGGAAATTAAGGAGGACAAAAAGGAGAGGAAAGAACCACAGGTAATCCTGCAACTACCTGACGACCTGTCTGTGGGCATAATGACTGCCTTAATACATGCCCACCTCCAAAACATCATGGAGCCAGGTCTAGGATTCAGACACCATGCAAAAAGGTTTTAAAAAAGAACAATCTACCCGATCTCGACCTTGGTAACGGGGATTCCTGGGGGATCTTCAAAGTTCTCCCACCAAAAACAATAAACACCACAACAGAAACCACGCTCACACAATCCACCATCTCACCACACCCCCACAACCAGATCTCGGCCCACAGGACGAGCCAGAGACCGAACTCTTCACTACACCACAAAGGAAACCAACATCAACACCCACACCCACGCCAGCACCTACGCCAACACAATCACCTGTACGACCACGCACCACCAAAACAAACACGCCCAAGCAGTCACCACAGCAACCCAGACCACAGACAACACAATCAGTCAAGCCAAAAACAACACACATACACCGTAAACACACAGACGACCTTACAGACTCCGAGGTCGATGATCAGTCCCTTCGCCACAGGGACGGTTACGACCTCAATCCAAAAACATACGGCATCCGCCTCTTTGCGACGGAGCCCTCTCGCTACAAACACCTAAACAGACTACAGCTGGCACACGAAATCACACGCGGCACAATTAAATGGATCTACACAGACAACTCATACCAAACACGCATTCACGAACAGAAGATCACACAACACCTACACGAAGGCAACATGTTCATCCAGCCGAACATGATTGAAAAGGTAAAACAACAAAACTTGAACACATTCAAAATGGCTGGTACAACATATCCAAGTAACACCATGGCTGCACCACACAACAACACATTACACTCCAGACTCACCATCATACAACATAATGTAATAGCATGGACATACAGACGAAGACAAGAACTCTGCAATCACTACAGACGACACGACCCTGACATCATACTCATCAACTCCCATTCACTCAAACATCCACAAACACTAAAAATATTCAACTACACTACATACACATCCAACAAAACAAACGAAGGCAGCGACGGCGTAGCCATCGCAGTCAAACAACACATCAAACACAAAATACTCGACACCTTCACCTCAGAACTCATGGCCATAGAAATAGACACACCTCATGGACCCATCATCATCGCCACCACCTACATCCCTCCACGCAGACCTTACATAGATCAACCTGACATATATCAGCTCCTGCGACACAGAAAACAACATACATAATGGGAGATTTCAACGCACATCACAGACTTTTCGGATACACAGACACAAACGCCGTCGGAAGAGGCCTCGCCTCACTCATCTCCGACGGCAGACTCACCCACCTCGGCCCACACGCACCCACATTCATACGTGACAACAGCTCCACCACACCAGACATAGTTCTCGCCAACACACAAGCAAACCTGAACCACCACATCACCACGGACGATGTCACATCCAGTGATCACCTCCCCGTCATACTCACACTCTCCACAAACCCCATCATGGTACCTACACCTCCCCGAGAGATCCTCAAACATGCAAACTGGGAAGGGTTCAAACAAGCACTCGAACACACACACACTCCTGATCTCGAGGGGCAACCCACGCACACAATAGACCACCACCTTAATCAGTGGTACACAGACATACAGACCGCCCGCGAGGCAAACATTCCCAAAACAACATTCAAAACACTCGTACACTACAAAGAAACACATCGTCTAAAAACACTGAAAATACAATACAGACACCTTCGGGACCTTGCTGAGACACAGGGATGGAACACCGAATTACGCTCACGATACAGAGAAATTCAAAGACAACTGACCAACGAAACAAAATACATGAGTAACCAACACTGGGAAACACTCACACGAGAACTATGCAACAACATAAAAGATCCTAAAGTCTTCTGGCTGAAGTACAGACGACTCTTAGGATCGAACAGACAGACTATCACATACATATACAACACCAATAGACAAAAGATAGACACAGCAGAGGGGATGGAAGCTGTCCACAGGGAGTTCTGGCAACAGAACTTCCAAATCTCCCCTGCTGAAAACACGACATTCGACCCAGACACAGAAACCGAGGTTACACAAACACTACAACAGCTGCAACACTTGATTCTCCCATCACAAACAATATCACTCAACACACTCTCACCAGACGACCCTCTCTCACGCCCCATCACACCAGAAGACATGAGACACGCTCACACACGAACAAACAACACAACACCAGGAGCCAGCAACATCAACAAAACTCATCATGCAACACCTCCCACCCATCATGCTCGCCAGACTTCGCCACATTTTCAACGCTGCCCTGGCAACGGGATACTTTCCCTCCCGTTTCAAGAGAGCCACGCTCGTCCTAATACCCAAGCCGGGGAAGCCACCTCACGAGGTGACCAGCTTCAGGCCGATCTCCTTGTTGGAGGTCCCCGGGAAGATGCTTGAGAGGCTAATCACACACAGACTGAAAACACACCTTGAAAACAACAACACACACAACACTAGGCAACACGGCTTTCGCCCACACAGAGGGACTGGGAGTGCAATCGCCCTCGCGTACGAGGAGATTGCTCTCAGTCTCGCAAACAAGCACCAAACCAACATTATACTACGAGACGTCACCAAGGCCTTCGATAAGGTCTGGCACGACGGTCTCAAATACAAAATAACACAGCTTCACTTGCCTCCACATCTCACACGCCTCTTATGCAACTTCCTGGACGACAGATCGGCCAACATCCGGCTTGGGTCTTATCTCGGGCCCTCCATCCACCTCAGAAGTGGAGTACCGCAGGGCAGCGTCCTCTCGCCAACCCTCTACACCCTCTACACCGCCTCATTACCACCCCCAGCACCCTACAGCAACTACACAGCATACGCAGACGACATAACACAAATCATCTCACACCCCTCCAAATCCAAAAACATCATGAAAGCAGCCACACAAACAGCCATCAACACAATCAACACCTACGAAAACAAATGGAAGATACAAACAAACACAAACAAATTCACCATCATACCACTGGCTCGCTACAACCCACCCCCAATCACAATAAACAACAGAGATATACCCTACGCAAACAAAGGAAACATGCTAGGCCTACACTTCAGCAAACACGGTATCTCCAAACACGCACAACACAGAATAAGCCAAGCATGCACAGCTCTCAACAAAATCAGACGCTTCTCATACTGCTCAACACAAACAAAACTCAAACTCTACAAGACTACTGTAAGACCCATACTCGAATACACACCCATACCACTGATTGCAATCTCTAAAACACAAAAACACAGGATGCAATCCATACAGAACAAAGCACTATACTGGATAAACAACACCACAACACAGGACAGAATATACCACGGAATCACTGCACAGTCACTACACCGAACATATAACATAGAGCCACTAAACATACGCATACACACACTCGCCAAGCGAACCTGGGATCGCATACAACATATAGACAACACAAAC